GAGCTGAATGAAATTTCACAAAATGGATGCCGAAAGCATTTTCAAGAGAATTGCCACCTTCTTACAAATTTAAATTCAATTTAATTAATAAGTTAAAGAAGTACTACAATATGGGTGGCCAGCAATGAAGGTTTAAAAAGCTTTATCTTAAAGAGGGTTAGCGCCTGTCAAATATAATTTTGCAAAAGTTTTCTACACAAAAGTTTATTATAAATTTATTTATAATTTGAATTTTGTAAATCAGTCTAGTCTCCTTGTTAGTTTAGTACGACTAATTACTCCAACTGTGGTACACTCATTGCTCCAATTTAAATAAATAAATTTCACACAATTATTCGATGTGATACATTTTCAACTAATGCATATATATCCTACAAATTACGTTCAATATAATAGCATGAAATTAGGAGTTTAATTCAATGAAAGTTTCATTTTGAAACACACTTAATCCTTTTCACAAAGTCATGTGGCTCTTTTTGCATCTTTTTTTTTTCGCTTAATAACAATAAATAGTTACAACCAAACAAATGTTAAATAAACGTTCAACAGCTACTGCTTAAAATATGCAACAGTGCGATAAACTGTTGCCGCCATTCAACACTTAATCATACCAATTCATATGGATGCGTAATAAATTGTATATGCATATTTAAGCAAATAAATTAATTTTATTTATTTTCTTATGTTATTTATGCTGCAATGAAGCATTTCATTACATTCTATGTATTTACTTGTATTTAATACTTATAGATCGTTGGTCGCTTTTTTGCTTTAATATTTTTTTTATTTTTTTTANTTTTTTTTTTTTTTTTTTTTTTTTTTTTTTTTTTTTTTTTTGTAAAGTATTACACAGTTTACCTCATCTCAGCTCACCGCAGCGCACCATAAATCTATACAATCACTGTTGATCTCCATGCTTTAGTGCGCCGAACATTCAACTGTTGCAAGCTGTTTAACAAATTTTCCTTTTTTTCTGCCGTTGCAGTAGTAAGAACAATAAGAATTTGATTTGGGCTTAGGCCAAGAAACTTCACTGATCGCTTTTACTTACTCATATATATATTTTTGTTTATTAAGAATTTGATCTGCTATTCAACTACGACATTATGCTGGATCTAAATTACGCAAAGCCCTTAACTACTTTCACTTAATTACTACCAGCATTGGAAATACTTTGAGTGTCAGATGCGCAGATCGTAATACGGTTTCCACTATGATATTGTAGAAATCAGTCTTGAGTCATCAAGTCTTGAACAGCTCGAAGAGGTATTTCCCCAATTCGAACAGGGCTAAAAGTTGTGATCAACCTCACTTAAAAAAAAAGAAACCAATTGGCATAACTTTCTAAGTTTTGGGCCGAAATTCTCTTCGTACTTTTCGGTGTGCGTCTTAATATTCTCACACAAATAGAGGGGCCTAAGTTGCCCCCCAAATGGTTTACTAAATATTGCCTGCCACGGGTTGTTGTTGTTGTTGTAGCGGCTACCTAAACGGGGTTAGATCGCCGAAACAACAGCCCTTGGTCGGGTGAAACCCGAGTCATTCCGGTACGTAGAACCGGCTGTCGTGGGAATGTCATTCCGGTACGTAGAACCGGCTGTCGTGGGAATGTCGTGCCTGCCACGGGTCGACTTCTTTGGTTGTTGGTCGGATATTTATCTCCGCACACAGACTCATCGCGTAGACGTATGGCTGGGATATGCTCGGCACAGTTGTCTTTACCCTTGGTCCATAGACTCCAGCCTCTATGCCGTCGGAAGCTTTTGACCCATTGTGTACCAGTTTAGTGAATTTATCTGGATATGTTGTTCCAAAATGGAGGCTCTTTATGTTGTTTTCATGCACACTTCTATACTGAAGTTCTTTTCAAACACTATTGTCTGTGGATTCATCCTCTGTCAAACCCATCTCTAGCAAAATAAAATAGCCGCCTGCTCAATGGTTACATGAGTGATGGGTGTGGTTTGATTTCTCCAGAGAATATTCCCGAATTAGATGTACTACGAAAATCTGGACGGAAGCCCCACTGATACTACACAATCAGTTTGATAATGACGAGCTTATATCTTTCACATAGCTGTGTCGGCAAAACCTTATAGGCGATGCTGCGATCGCTAGTCACGTTGTGATTGCGGATTGGGTAGCTGTGTAGGTTCAGCCGAGTGTAATCCAACTCCAGACTAGTTACGCATTTTCCTTTACTATTCTATGTTCCTTGAGCTTTATAAAGTGCTTTCTTAATATCCCGGTAATGTTGTGGACTTCTTTTACCAGATATCTATCCTCATCTTCTGCATAAAAATATTCAGCTCTCCTTATAAGTATAGCTCAATGACACAAACGATATAGACCATCCTCTAAACTACAGATGAGTTGAAGTCTTCAGTAGCAATGGAGATGCGCGCTGGTCGCTAAGTAAATACTCGTATCTACTCAAGCAGACTTTGAGTCTACGCATCCTACAACCTCTGTGTTGATAGCCAAGTAGCTTAATAGAAAGAAAAACATGAGTTTTTTTTTTATTCCACTTGACACTGCATGTTATCTTGCTGGTTCTTCTCTACGCCGTCTAGTCTTTTTCCGATCACATAATGCAATTCAGCCAAAGTAAAGTGGGGTATTTACACTTACTATGAACTGAAATCCTCCTCATATACTGCACATAATACCAAGATTGGCAATATGTAGTAAGCGCTGTTGTGCCGACATTTTTATCGCCCCTTGTCAAGATGCCGCAATGCGTTCATCGTCTGCATTACTTTCTTAAAATGCCACCACCAACAATAAATGCAACAGCAATGCACGCCTCGTCTCCTCGCCGCATTGCCTTCTGCACGCATTTGGTTGCAATAGCCACAAGCTGCAGCTCCAAGTATGTATGTGTATGTGTATGTGTATGTGTATGTATGTCCATCTACTTAAGCATTTTATTATCCGTACAACGTCTACTTCCTTTTTGATCGCCCTCATCTAAACGATACGCACTCATACCGATGCGTACACTTTCGTTATGGCCTGCAGTGTCCATATCATAAAATTGTTTGCGCCATTATCTCGTATTTTAGCTTTTTAACCAACAACAAAAACGTCTAAATATGTGTATGTACAGCAGAATAAGAATAAGTAAAAGTGCCATAAAATCGCCTGCTCTGAAAAAAAATTGCAAAAGGCGAAAGCGCCATGTACTGCCGTTCATACACACACACACATACATACGTATAAATGTACACACAAGTATATATCGGTTTGAAGTTTTATTGCATTGGATTTGAACGGATATGTCGNTGCAAAAGGCGAAAGCGCCATGTACTGCCGTTCATACACACACACACATATGTACGTACAAATGTACACACAAGTATATATCGGTTTGAAGTTTTATTGCATTGGATTTGAACGGATATGTCAGACCACTGACTGTCTTAGACTAACCAGCAACAAACTATCACATATTCTTACAAATGTATGTATGTATGTATGTGTATATGTACCCAGCCAGCAGAAAAACGTGCGCTTTGCCGACAGTGCGGTTTTCGTACATTTTTCGTTAGTTTTTCGAGTCCGAAAAATTTAAAAAAAAAAACCATGTTATTTGACAACAGAAATTTTAGAATGTTTGTTCAAACTAAAAATTTTAATACATGTAAATATGTATATCTATGTAGGTGCATATCTGTGCCGTCCAATTAAAGTAGTTTAACTCACTTCAATTAAATAATCATCAGCTCCCGTCGAAATTTTTTACATTTTTATTAAGCTTTTATTAAAAGGGCATATCTTGAGCTACATCCATTGCTAGTTAAATGTTAAAGAGAAAAGGGCCTACCCCGTCTTAGGCTACTTTAATTGAACAGCAAAGCTATGTAGATACGTATTATTTGTAAGATTTCTGGAGGTCCCAGGTTCGAATGTCGTCAGACTTACAGAGCAATTCATCAGAGTCTTCCGAAAGACAAAAGTCTTCTGACAACTATGTTGAAAGCTCTTTTCTCTCTTCCAAATAACTAGTTGAAAAATCTGCTAACGAAGAGATCCTAGCGCAATTGTTTGTCTTTAAGCAAAAAGCTTACTAAAAGTAAATTAAATAAAAAATATATATTTCTCTTCTTAAAAAATAAAAACTAAAGATTAAAGATTTAAAAAAAATAAAAAATTTGGAAAAAGACTTAAATTAAAAAAATAGAAAAACAAAATAAGTTTTTAAAAATTAAAAAAAAAAACAAAAAAAATATTTGTAAAACTATACAACCCTAAAACTTAAAGGAAAATTACATTAAAAAAAGAGCAAATTAAAGAGGTTCCCAAAAACTAAATCAAATTAAATAAATAGTTTTATTTTTATTAATTAAAAGAATTTAAAGAAAAACAACTGAAAAAATAATTTTCTAAAAATTAAATTAAATTTAAAAAAATATATTTTTTTTTTCTTTTCAAAGCAATAAAATCCAAAAATTTTAAATTTATTTTAAAGAAAGAAGTAAATAAAATTAAAAAAGAAACAAAATAAAATAAATTTCTAAAAACTAAATTAACCTAAAAAAATCCCTTTTAAGACAATAAAATCTAAACAATAAAAGGAACTTAAATAAAAATAAAAAATAAAAAAAGTCAACATATAAAAAATTCCACTGCCCGAGCATTCGAACCTCGGGCTTCTCGAGTGGCTCAAGAGCTTGTTGACAAGGGCGTTTTTTTTGTTTGTAAGACTTTCGTACCTGAATAAACAAAATCTTTCAACCCACAAGTATCTTGCCTACTGTCCTTTAATTGTCATACAAAAGACTTGAAACTTTTTCAAAAGTATGTATTCAAATTAAAATAAATGCTGAATCTAATATTATTATTATTTTTTGTTTTTAGTAAATACGAAAAAGCATCTGTGAAGTGCAAAAAACAACCAAAAACGTAACCGGGTCACAACCGTTTTCGGCACTTTTCTAAGCATGCATGCATATAAACGGGTGGTTATATTTTCGTATACGTTTCCGGATATTTTGCTAGCTGGGAAAATTATACGAACCAACACCCATGAAAAGAAATGAAATACATACCTATTCAAGAAAGTGCAATTTTGTAGGTATTTTATTACATACTATGTATAAGTATATGTATTCGTTTGCAGACATTTGCCATAATACGAAAATGGGATTTTAGGATATAAAAATTATGATAGATTACCGCATGGCGCGACTGAATTGCAAGGATGTTGCTTTAGGTCCGCACGCCTGGATATCCAATCAATTCAAACAAAAATATATCTATGTATTTATGTACATATATACATTTTTGTACATGCCTGCATTTACAATTACTTAACCGAATGTACATACATACCTACATATGAATATATGTACATATGTATATACAAGCCATCGCTTTTGGGTAATATGCCAGCTTGTCTATGCGCCGACAACGTTTTGACATTTTTGACATTTTCACAATTTAAGAATTGCTTTGCTCGTTCCACTACAACCACTGTGGAATATACGTATGTATGTATGTATGTATGAATTAATCGCCACTTAAGGTAAATTCATTAGAATTCAATATTTTACGGTGAAGCAATATTTTTTGAGACGCATCTAAAGATTTTATGTACCGTTAAGTGTGTGATTTTGTATTTCAACATAAAAGCAATTTATAGTAAAAAATTAATTGCTTTTTCACACCTCAAATCATTTATTGTGTGGGCGTCGATAAGCCTGCTGCTTATTGCGGACAATTCAAAAGATTTTTGAACTCGTTTCGCTGCTGTTTCAATATTTATGATTGCGAAAATATAGGGAGACTGCTGAGTAGTAAACGTAAAAAAAAGCGTTTCACTAAACTATATTAAACTATACAGTATAAAGCATGCAATTCTGAATATCTGCTCGGATATCGAGAATATTTTGGTTTATTTTTAAAAATGTTTAGTATATTTAAACAATCAATATTTATTTTTCTCGTTTACACATTTTTCGTGTGTAAAAATCAGTTTTGTTAGCGGCTTGTACACACTTTTGCAGTAAATTTACGCACACCACAGCAGCTATGTATATTACACTCTAAAAAGTCCGAAATTTAAACAAGCCATTCGTGGAATAATCGAGCATGTAATTTTGCGAATAATAAGGTAGAAAATCAGTGACCTACCTTTTAGCTAGGAAATTTACACAACTTTTTTTAGAGTGCGTTACTATTTTCAATGTTTGCTCTTTCTTGTCATCGAAAGGGATGCGTGTTAATAAATCGTTCCAACTGGCCTTGACTATTCCTTCTTTTCGGAATTGCTTACCTTCTCTAAATATTTTGTTTTGGTTGATATTAAGCTGTTTCAACTGTTTGTGGAGATGATTCTCATTTGGCTTTAGCGACAATTGACCAGGAACCGTAACAGTTAAACTTTCATTTAGAAAAAAAAATGCTCTTTAACAATTATGTTTTGACTTTTATTTAACTACTCTTTAAATAACCGTTATTTCTGACTTTTATTTTATAAATCGATAATAACAATTATTTTTTATTTTTGTCTGAATGATCTGCAAATAACAGTTATTTTTGATCTTTAAATTATAAGTCTTAGATATTAGATTTTGTTTATAAAAGTCATTAATAAAAATCAGTCACTGACCTTTATTATTTAAATCATACATATAAAATTTTTTTTTAAATAAGTCGCAGTAAACTTTTGTTTCCCAACATCTTCTTAACTGCGAAAAATGATAATGACTTGTATACGAATGATTTCAAAAATAAAAGTCGGTGACTGATTTATATAAATGGCTTTTAAAAGTAAAAGTCACTGACTGATTTTTATTGATGACTTTTATAAATAAAAATCTTCGATAACTCTTATCTAAGACATATGATACAAAAATCAAAAATAATTGTTATTTTGGATTTATAATATAAAACTCAAAAATAATTGTTATTTTTTTTTTAATATTGCATAAAAAGTGCAAATAAAAATTTATTTTCAAATTTGAGTCTCGGTGGGTTTGTACCACTTAGTTGTAGAATATTTTCTTCATAGTGAATTTTTCCATGACAGTTTTTATCAATAACTGTTATGCTCGATCCCTGCAATTGACAATAGCAAATCTTTTATTAACATGGTCGCATGCAATGCACTGTAGCGAACTGAGGTATGGCTGCGATCTAAAGCAGAACGAAAATTACGCAATGAAATGCCCGCCACTGTAAAATTTTAGAAAAAAACGTTTCAATAAGAAAATTAATGGCGGAACAAAGTTCGACGGCTCCGCTAGTATAAATCAATCACTCATACGCCATGTGGTCGATCTGATATATATATATGATATGCGATATTTTTTTTTTCAAATAAATTCAAGTGAAAGGTACGAAATTTTAAGAAAAAGCAATTACTTGTTTTTCATGCATACAGCCACTGAAATAGAAACAGTCGTGACTAATCATTTTTTTTTTATAAAACTATGTGGAGAGTTTAAATCCTTCATATTAAGAAAAGTGGATTGTATATTTCTTATAAGTTACGTCTTTTTGCATTTCAGGTGATTATGTTTGTATTATATATACGGTGACCAGATTTCTGTGGCCAAAAATCGCCACATTTCTAAATCATCCTATCCGAACATAAAATATTGTTTTTAGAATAGAAAGACGTAACATCGTTTAATACAGTTTTATTTAAAATAAAACAAAGAGAACAAAAATTTTAAACATTATCGCAAAAATATATACATAAAAAATATATGGTGGCGAGAATGGTGCTTTTCTTTGTTTAAGAAATGTTTATTATTTTTTTATGAACATATAATTTACTATCTAAAAAATTTTAACAAATGTTGATGAAAATTTTAAACATTTTAACTAAATTTTCCAGAATTGTCTTGAGTATACAGTTTTGTAGCCTATTAAATTTTAATGCAATAACGAGCAAGAATGAAGTACCCTTAATTTTTGGCAATTTTTTGTACTATGTTAAAAAATTTGTTTGTATGGAGAAAATGAGCAACACCTTCCACAAAAAAATTTACCAAAAATTAACGGTACTCATAACGGTTCCAAGAATTCGAATTAAAAAGTTCAAAATATTGATGAATCTTTGTCGTCGAATTTAACTCATTTTTGTACAAAGTTTGAAATTTTAACTTACATGGTCTTTGTTATATAAGGAGCTACGTGATCGTAAAAAATTATAAACATTAATTCTAAACATTAAATAGTCGAAAGGCGAATAACCAAAGGTTGCTAAGATATCTCTTCCTTAATTATATTTTCGCCACTGTATTTACAGCTTATATTTTTCATATCCATGAATTTTTCGAGGGAATTAGTATTATTTTTTATGATTTCACTAAATTCATGTTCGAATCGTTTCATTAAAAAAAATACAAATAATTATAAGGACATTAAAAAATTTCGACAATTTAACGAGAGCCCTAGTTTGACAGAATAAAACATAGCCAAATATCATAAAAAACAAGGATGCTGGCTATGTTTATGGCTCGCTTATGTTCTGTACGAAAAATTATTTGTGTATGAAAAATTGTTTTTGGGCCAGAATACAGGGAGACTCTTATTAAATTAATAAAGAAAACACTGAAAAGCGGAATTTAAGCGGTACAAATATGACAAATCGGGACACTTATACGTGCCGTCTTTTAAAAAAATATTCAGCGGGACAATTTCTCAAAATCGTTACTGTCCCTCCAAAATCGGTACGAATGGTCACCATAATTATATATGTATACATAAGTTGACATACCTGCATTAAAGAAAATTGCCCTGTGTTGCTAGTATATATGTATGTACATGAATCAGCTATTTCCCAGCAGCTAGCAAGGAAACGTACATTTTACGATTATGTTTTACGAGGGATTCTCGAGCGGCGAAAAGTTAGAGAAAGGTTCGTAACCGATAAAACAAAAAAAAAAAGTAAAAGGGCGAGGCTTGTAGTAATTTATCAGCACAAGAAAAAATTTTCATTCTGTTGGGAATTTTTCTTGAACCACAATATTTTGTAATATAAAATATTCGCATACGAATGCTTTTTTTGTACCGTTTACGACTGTTCGTAGGCGCTCGACAATTTCGCTATCATAAACGACTTTTTAACAGATTTTTCTGCGAGAAAATAACCAGTTACGAGTTCGTTTACAATGATTCAATGATGGCTGGGTTGACTTACAATCGAAAGCGGTTCTTGACTATGATAATTCACCTTATTGAATCGGGTAAGCTTTATGGTGAGCTTTTTCGGCTTACCACTTAATTTACCACATTCTCTGTGTGTACCACGTCACTGTTGCCAACTCATGGGATTGCGCCCATAGTTTGGGATTTTCGCATCACAAAAGGGCGCGTGGGATTTTGCGTCTCATTATGAGATCTCTATCTAAATATATAAAATTTTTTGGTTCATTTTTATTTTTTTATTTGCTTTTCAGGCATTGTTAAATTTCCTTATTCAAACATATATGGAGCATTCCAACGTAATGCGACATTTTAACTCGTTTTTGCTTAAAATTTAAGTAACCCTTAATTTGACAAGTTTCAAACTGTTTTTTCTTAGCAGCGGTCGCCCCTCGGCAGGCAATGGCAAACCTCAGTGTGCATTTCTGCCATGAAAAACAGCTTCTTATAAAAATATGTACAATCACCGTTCGGAGTCGGCGTAAAACTGTAGGTCCCTCCCCTTTGTGTGACATCATCAAGGATGAAGAAATTGGAGAAGAAACTCGGCCAAACACTAACATATGTGTAAGCGACAATCAATTATTATTATTACATCTAAATATTTCGTACATAGCGGGGTTCTGTAATGTGGTTAAGGTCCATTTTATGCTTTGATGGCATTGTTATATTTGAAAATTCGTGAGTAAACTGAACACTACTGATTTTATATGAGTATTTATTTATTTTTTAATAAAAGGGCCTTGTTTAAACTATGTGAAGCCTACACATTTTGAGGTTAGGTTATTTCGCTGTGATGGGTAGGACATTCAATAATTATTTCTTTATTTTTTGCATTGTCACCTTCAACACACGAGGAAGACCTTGTCAACTTGATAAAAAAAAATAGATACTATATCAGAGATATCTGCATTACAGCTTTGTTTATAAGGCTATGTGCAACGCAAGAAAAGTGAAAACCGCTGAACTGAAGCTGGCTGCTATAAAAACTCTTTATATATGTATGTATGCATATAGTTCTTAAGAACTTTTAATATTTAATAATCATAAATCGAATTTTCGAATTTAATATCGGATAAACAGGGCAGTTTTCATAAGAGAATGGGATTTTCGGAACTGAAGTTGGCAACACTGTACCACGTGCTCTGGTTTTTCCATACCATTACTTATTGAAAATGTTTGCGTGTAAGTGAACTTATATATGCATATGTAAGTAAAAAAAACTTTAGCTTCCATTTTTAGCCACAACGACTTTTTTTGAGTTCTTTTTAGCCCTTTTTTTTAAGAAATTTGGCTACCACTAAAAAGGATTCGCGACAACGCTGGAACTTACAGGAACAGTTACTCAGTTACTTTCTTAAAAGTCTTCCCACCTACAGGTTTTATGTCTATAGGAACGACTTCCTGTAAGTTCTGACTAAATCCTAACAGACTAACTATATGAAAATATGCCCATGGTCCAATGAGTTGAAGATTTTCAAAAATAGTGAATGGGGTGTGGTGTCAGCGGAAGAGCATGGAGGCGGGCCTCCCATGGCTCGGGGCTGCTTACGACAATTTGTTTTAGGTAATTTTCTAAAATTCGAAGGACGAATGACGGCAGCTGTTTATGTCGACATTGTCAGCGAAAATTGTGAAATTTATACTTTCACTTGATGCCTAGTATACATATGTATGTACATATGTATCACAGAAGCAGGTTAATTTTACATACATTGTTGGTATATATATATGTACGTATAAATAATTTTCCGTGGCTCCACGTGACAGCAATTAACTTTTGTGTTTGGTAAACAGTTTATGAATGCAAACGCAATACGCAAATTAACAAAAAAAAATCGTTTTATTTTTTCCTTTTTTGATGTTTTTTTTTTTGTTTTTTCTCGTTTGTTGTAAAAAAAAATAATGCCAAAGTGTCTACCAACAGATGCATTTGCAATACCAACACCAACAACCAAAAGCGTCAAGTAAACAACAAAACATAAAAACTCAACAAATATTTGTTGCAACAAATGAGCGGCACGCATTAAAAGCCATAATTGAAAGCTAAAACGTGAAAAAACAACCAGTCACAAGGCGATTTACAACTACAAAGCATCAAAACGTGCGAAAGCGTGCCAAGTAGGAATGTTAATCCCGGGATCCCGGCCTGATTACACTGATGGCAATAATAGAAACACCTATTCTTGACCAGTACTGGCTTTATTTATTTTTTATTTTTTTTTATTTAATAATTGATATTTTTTCATAAATGTCTAGCTCATTACACATGTAAAACCGTGCGATAGTAAATTTTGCACACAAAAATCAGTATATTCGTGAAGCCATGTGCCAAATATTGTAAAATTGCGTTTTTAGTTTATCACCCTGACGTAAGTAATTCCAAAATGATTTAAAAAATTCTGTGAAATGTGCTTTGAGAAGAAGTATGCGTATCAAATTAAAGTATTAAAAATGTCCTTTTAAAATTTTATCCTTGAAATTTCGCAATATCCGTTTTTGAAAAAATTAAATGTTAAGGACTTAAGGACATCCTGGAAATTCGTCCTTCTAAATTTATCAGCTTGAAGAATTACCTATTCGTCCTTGTAAATCCAAAAAATTTTAATTTTTTAAATTCTAAAGAAATTTTCTCATTTGGTACCTACCCATATTTTTATTCTTCATTGCATTGAATTTTTTAAATAATTTTTGGAATTAATCATATCTTTGAAATTACAAAGTTCTTTAAAATAAATCCTGACATCAGAGAGATAAAATAAGAACGCCACATAGAAGCAATTTTTTCGATTTAAGCTGCTGCAAATTAATGAACTCCGGGATTGTGATAACGACATCCCGAAAATCGTAAAAAGCGAAAAAATTATTATCCCTAGTGGCAAGCAAGTTGTTTTTCCACAATATCTATGTATATCGCAGCGAACGCCAAGCATAGTTACATATGGGTGTTTCCACCGGAAGGTCCACCACGACAAAAATAAAATAANGCTCCAAATCATATCAAAATAAGTTTCATCAAAATAGCCATCCACAATTCGCAGAGTTTTGTGATTTTGCAAGAAAAGAAAAAATCAACTTCCATTTTTTGTCACGTAACGAACCTCTATTTAAATGCTTCTATTTCAGGACCAAGCAGTGCGATTGATTTAATTTTTCGGTTAAATATAGAGCTAATTACGTGCTATACGATGGCCCAAAAAAGTTAAAGAAAACAAATGGTATTCCTTTTTTGTATCACATTGAAATCGTACGACTGTCTCGTGCGCCACCATGGGAATGCCCATACATATGTATTTACATATACATATATGTATTTGGCGATTTGTTTTGGATATTTGCGCGTAAAAATTTAGGAAATCGACATTGGCGATTTTTTCCCTTCAAATAAATTTTTTCCATTTATAAAAAAACACAAAACTTAGTTTTGCACGGTAATTTTACAGAAGAGGCTAATGAACGGCATGGTAAACTTGACTTAAGCATATTAAAATACTGTCAAAAATGCTTAATCACCATAATCGAAGAACTTTTGAAACGATTACCTAGTCAATTAAATACTTTTGAAAAAGATGATTTATTTTGGAACGAATTTCCGTCATCCCTTGTCAAGTTTGGTTTGCAGACAAACCGGTTTCGGCATTGTGCCATCTTCAGTGTCATTTTTCTTCTTCAAACTTGACAAGGGATGACGGAAATTCGTTCCAAAATAAATCATCTTACCACCCTGTCGGAAAAATCAACCAACACCAACACCAACACACTTTTGAAAAAGCTTAAATTTTGTCACCAGAAAAGTGTGTGAATCACAAGAGCGCGGGTTTCAGGGACCTGCCAATTCACTATTTGACTTTGAAGGAAAAAAAAACAGCAGAAACTGAATATTTAAATCTGTTAACTCTCCCATGGAATATCTTTTCTCAGAATCATTCCATCCGACTCTGAAGAATTTTGGATAAATGCTTACGGAGGGAAAACCGCAAAAGGCAATAAATTGTTTGGAAATATAAGTAAATTCATATTATTATTCTTGATGTGTGTTATTTATTATTACCCTCTGAAAGCATTATATCCGTTTTTGGTTTTAAAAACTATATTATAAAGAGATCTCATTTTTAAATTTAAAAGATTTGTTAAATCGATTTCATGAATTTTATTTAAAAAAATAATAATAATAATTGGCGATTTTTGGCGATTTTTTTCAGAAATTGCGTTTTTTTTTTTAACAATCTGGGCACACTGGTTGCTGGGTCAATTACGTGTTGCACGCCTGGCAAGCATTTTGGTCAAAACGACACTTTAATTGAGCACGCCAAAGCACAAATGCAGGTGTATTCATATGTATATATGTATGTATGTATATGTATTTGTAAATGACGTGAGGTAACTTTTACGACTTATTCATGGATTTCGTTTTGCATTTGTTTTGCTTTTTAATTAGTCACAAATGCTGTAGGTAATTACCTTAGCAATTTTTAAGTATAAAAATTATTTTATTGCAGCTTTAATTGTAATATTTTTGTTTCGTACAAAGTATTTGTTTAATTCCAATTCTAAAGATTTATATAACTCATTCTGTACGATAGTTTCAGTTGCTTACTTGGTTATCTACCATTAAAGGTCATTCCACATACGGCGCGGCATTGAAATTAGTTAGATATGCCTCAGCTGGATGCCGGTTTGCATGTTGGCTTCCGATCGTGGAATGACATAAAGCATTTGTTATGAGAGTGCAGCAAATTCAAGTGTCATTGACATTTTTTTACTACCAATCACGCAGAAACTACTTAAAATTAAAACGGATTAATTAAACAAGCGTGCCGGGTAAAAGCCCACACTTTTGAAAGTCTACAGAAAATCGTAAGGAAATCAAAGTACCATCCATTAAGGTTTAACAAATTGTTCTACCTTCCTTTATTTATTGAAAAGCGTTTCCACATTTTTGAAAAATATTAATTAATAAGACAATGTAGGCTTAAAAACGTTTTATCTCAAATAGGGTTGCCACCTATCCGAAAAATTTAGTTAAACTAAATATTTTAACATGGAAATGAAACAAAAGAGACTTTATTTCGGAATGATTTTTGGCGAGGGTTTGCCACCTATTTGGAAATTCAAAATTATTTTAACTAATAGGTTTAATTAAAAAATTGAATATGGTTCAAATTACCTTTATATCTAAAATGCATTGAAGAGTTAAGCTTAAGTAAGCTTTATTTAAAAAATATTTTTTTTAAGAGGGTTGCCACCAGTTTAATTTGATGAGTGATTAAATGAATCATTAAGTTCGATGGGAAGAGGAATCCTGCCTTAAAAAAAAAAATCTTACATATTTAAATAAGATAAGTTGTTTTTCATGCGGAAACGGCCGATTTAATTTGAAATTTTGCGCAAAAATCTACCATGTCCGCAGATATCGCTTGTAGCGCTGAATTCCGAGGAGTAAGGGCATCAATATTAATTGCATAATTCGACAGCATTCGGTGTAGCAGATTGAGATAAGTAAACAACAATACGCGTACGCATCAAAACAATTGTTATTGACGACCACCACACCCAAGGTCGCATTAAAACAAAGAGTTCTCTTGACGCTTATCAATATGCATTGTCAATGCTAAAAATTTTATTCTTTGCCGCGAAGTTGTAAACAATATTTAAATATTTATCAAGCAAAACAAATATTCGCGTATATGCGTGTTGTTGTAAGTAAGTATGAACAGCATAAATGTAATTTTAAAACCTTTTTTTTTGCGAACTCTGAATGGAATTTAATGCTACTTGAGAAGTACTAGAAGCGTGGCAATAAAAAAATTGCTCTCTGAAATGCACACGGGTCTCCTGACATCGCGACATATAGGTGATTCGTAAGGTCGATGAACTGGCGCGACTTGGCACCAAACTCCCTATTGAGGATATAAATATTTAAAAACCCATAGTCTTACAAACTTGCAAGCTACTTATTTTCAAAATGGCTTGACGAAATCACCTGAAAAACTGCCAGGTAACGCAATGGCCTACTGCTGAACTTTTAATAAGCAGAATATCAGTTTGCCTAATTGGCAAGCATGCCTATCGGTGTACGATTGCAGGACTTATGTAGAAGTTCTCAAGACGCAGGAGAGGAGGAAACAATTCTGCACCTATTGTGCCAGTGAACCTTAGATGCGTGGAAATCTGGAATCTTCTAAAATTCACACACATGCAGCATCACAATGGGCCTTGAGCCTTGGTGTCTCTTATAGATACAGTTACGATTCGTACCGATTTTGTGGGAAATGTCCCGCTGAATACTTTTTAAAAGTCGGGACGTATAAGTGTCTCGATTTTTCATATTGGTACCGATTAAATCCCGATTTGCTGTGTTTTCTTTATTAATTTAATAAGAGTCTCCCTGTATTCTGGCCCAAAAACAATTTTTCATACACAAATAATTTTTCGTGCAGAGCTTAAGGGAGCCATAAGCATTGCCAGCATCCTTGTTTTCTATGATCTTTGGCTATGTCTATGTTTTATTCTGTCAAACTAGTGCTCTCGCTAAATTGTCTAAATTTTTAAGGTCCTTATAATTATTTGTTAATTTCTTTTTTTATGAAACGATTCTAACTTGAATTTAGTGAAATCATAAAAAATAATACTAATTCCCTCGAAAAATTCATGGATATGAAAAATATAAGCTGTATATTATCGGTCAAAAGTCACTTGGTTTAACGTGGGAGGGTCTACCTCCCTTGGGAATAAACACAACCTTCGCAAGGGTTCAGCCCTTGTTTTATAAACTAAGTTTAAAACAATCCTTATAGATTAAAACAAGTATCGGACATAAAACGTCAGATGCTGACTTAAGTTGGGCAGGGAAAATACCACCCATGCCTGAATATTTGAAGGGCTTGAAGGACTTTATGGCCCAGTCTACCCTCTCTACATCAATAAAGTCCGCTGAAGTCAACGGCCGTTCAGAGATAATAACCGCAGTGTTAGGTTCCGCAGTACATCCTGGTAAGTACGCGTTGATTAAGACTTCAAGCATTTCCTCATGAGTTGACGTCCAGTCACCATTTGGTTTTCTGAATATACATCGGCTTCGTCGGACTTTTCACAAGCACCTTCCACAGGCGATTTCCCTCCGACCGACCCTCTGTACTAGCGCAGTAATCCTTCCAGGAGTCCCTTTGGGCTTTCCTGATGGCATTTTTAAATTTCTTCAGGGCTGCCTTGTATGCAGTCCAAGAAATATTGCGCTTTGCCGCATTAAACAGTTTCCTGTTTTCCTTCCTTAGAGAGGCGATTTCTTTGTTCCACCAGTGTGGCTTCTTCTCCCTCTCCCATCCCTTCTAGTGGGGTTCTATCGAAAATAATACTAATTCCCTCAAAATATTCATGGATATGAAAAATATAAGCTGTAGAAATATAAATAGGGAAGAGACATTTTAGCATTCTTTGGCTATTCCTCTTTCGTTCATTTATGTTTATTATTTTTTATGAAAATTTAGCTCGTATTTGTTATATATACTGTGTAATACAGGACAAAATAAACGGTCAATCCAAGCAATGTACTTCAAACCTGAACTTTATTATACTAAAATAATATTAAAAAAAAAAAACAATTCTAAAAAATCTGATTGAAATGTTTAAAATTTTGATCAACATTTGTTAAAATTCGTCGAATTTATATAAATGTTCTACAAAGCTTGTCATTTTGTTTTAAATGTAGCCAAAACTTGCCCAAATGTATTTGTACTATTTACATTCTCGCCACCGTATATATTGTGTGTATACATTTTTTCGATCAATTTTATTTTTTTTTTATCTATTTGTTATATCTTTTCTCTAAAAACGATGCTTTAAAAATGTCCTGATTTTGTCCACAGAAATCTGGTCACCTTACTTATAAACGATCGCGAAGACCTAACCTAACTAACTCACTAAGCGAAAAACCTTGCAGGTATTTCTTAAAATTTTCATTCAAAGAAAAATATGTGTCACATGAAAGTTCGTACATGGACGTACATATATACCTAACAACAAATACACATTTATTATTATACTCATACTACATAGTTTACAGCTGTTGTGTACATATATATATGTATATATATATATATATTTCATAATAAACAATACCTCAATCTTAAATCAACTTGCTATGAGTAGTGCTTTAAGAGCAGCAAGGAGCTAAATAAAAAATAATTTATATTTATTACATATTTTAATTTATGACTAGTCGTAAGTAAAGTAGAAAATCAATACCAGCACTTTTCGCGTTACTGAAACTTCATACCACGAAAAGTTGTTCTTGCTTTGAGACCTTTGTTGTTTGTTGTGTAGCAAATTATGCTTTGATTTATCTTTGGTTGTTTTTTTTTTACTTTTTCCTTGTTTCCTACTTCATTAAAAAATCCTAAGCGTGGAATAAGCAAATAAAAATACACATATTCTTAAATGCCTAGGTAGATAAATATATGTATACCGATGTATGTATGTATGTGCACATATACATTTTGCTAATCGCTCGATTAAACACCATTTTTCGCAACAGGTGTAATTTCAGTGTACACATAAATCAGCATAAGTAGTGGTGGTCACATAAATAGGGACACTATTACTTTAGAAGTTTTGACCATTAATTTCAATTTTATTTTAAGAATATATTTTATACTACAACGGAAACCATGTAATTCCAAGTTTCAAACCTTGTACCGGCGCTCGCTAGGCTCCACTGATTAAAAGCCAGTGCTGTCGCGGAAAGTGAATTTTTGAGATAACGTAACCCATAATTTTAATTTCATTGACAAAATAGTCTCTGATCCAATACTTCCAATACTTTTTGTGTAAAATCTTGTAAAAATGTCAAACAGCAAAATTACTCTCTGAAGTGAGATTAAAAAGTGAGTAACAAAAAAAGCATTTTTTTCATGAGTTTACCAGAAGAAAAAGTTCGGGTAAAATCTTGCAACTTCATTTCTCTACACAGCTCTCCGAAAATCGCTCTCATTTACAGGATTTTGGAGGAATTTGGAGAACAGAATAATTTTTCCTGTAACTTCCTGCAAGTTCGTGTAAAAACCTGTAAGTTCATGAAGTACTGGATCAGAGCTAATATATAATTGTGAAAAATTTACATTTTAAATATTTTGAAAAAATGTGTAGCTTTTAAGTTGCCCTTTGCCAAATTTTTTTTTAAATATTACAACTAACATTAATAAACTAAAAAATTAAAACCAAAATTATCCAAAGAGACTCATGTACGAAAAAAATTTGGAGTTTTCTGTTATTACTGCTTTTTTAACATTTGGCGCATCAAAATTGCTTTCCTTTTTTTTGGCCTGTGTTATTCGAGACAAAAATGGAAATCACTCAACATTGCAGACTTCTTATAAGGAAAACTGAATTACTATCAAATATATGTAGAGTGGCAGCACTGTACGCCATTCAGTTCGGGAACATTGTTTACTTTTTTCAATAAAAGTGAAAAGGTGCAAAGTCCACTTTTTGAAATTGTTCAGGACAGACGAAAAATCGATATTTCGCATATGCATCAAAAACTAAATTTTGGAAAAAAGTGGATTTGGCACCTTTTCACCTCTAGGTAGCGAAGTATTATTTTGTTGCCCGCGTTAACAGCTGCCCCTCAAGATGTTTTTTTGGTGTTTTTTTTTTAAGTTGTACCTTAAACTAGAGTTACTTTTTATATGCACACTAGCTGTACATTAGTTAAATATTACGCCAAAATTATCAAAGATGCAATAAGACCATACGCAAAAATATGGCCTTATTTCTCAATGTGAAATGAAATAAAGCCATATGGCATTATTGCCTATGGCCGTATAACATTGCGCCTATATAAACTATAATACATAAATAGTTAAAACTTACAAAGAAGTAGTGTGCTTAATTGTGTGGCCATCACTGTACCTGTATATAAATTTGTTTTATGTAAATGCATGTGTGTATCCTATAACAGTTGCCTACTTTGTTACATGCTACGAGTATGCTTTAATTTGAAGTTTTCATTTTCTACTTAGTATTTAGTTTTTTTTCCATATTTTTTATTGGTTTTTTTTTCGTTGCGTGCTTTTCTCGTTACCAACTAATCGCGCAGTCGACTTGAATGGCGACAAGCGTCAAAGTGCTTTGTGAATTTCAACGAGTCGGTCATTACTGCTGCAGGTAGCAGCGACGCAAAAATTGGGTTTCAAGCAGTCTAGCAATGCTACATATTTTCCAATATAACTGGTCTATTCTAATTGTCAAAAAAAAAAATACATAAATTGCGCTTGTTATTAAGTGAGAGTGCCTAAAAGGTAATTAATCACACAAAATTTGTCTACAAAAACAAAAAACTAATTAAAAACAAATACTTGCTGCTTTCTAATTCCACCAAAATATACTTTTGTGCCTTTGTTCGTTTCAAATGAATTTCACTCGCATTATTTGCTAAGCAAGTGTTTAACAAATACTATACTAAATCTACGCAACAGCTAATCCTTGGCATTGTTTTTAAGTATTCAATCCAAGCAAGCACCTGCATCGGACGTTTATTCCAGCAAAAATATTGCCACAAAAAAGTGCTTGTACTATTTACTTTGTAGTTACTAAGTTTTCAAGCCAGTTATCGACCGAATGCATTTTAAATAAAAAAATAAAAAATAAAAAATCAAACTAACATCCTTTCGTATGTGTAAGCATTGCGTGCTTTAATTTAATTCGATATAGGAACTGTCAATTATGGGCAATTCAAGCTCACTCTGTGCTGATAGGAATGCGGTCAGAAGCAGCCTCGGTGGAAATGGGTGAGTAATTTTGTGTAGTGGATTATCTAAGCTTTGCATGCAAAAATATATTATAGACAACCTATCGACAACAAAATATCGACAGAACTAACGATTTATCGATAGTTTGCATGTTCGAATAGAAACTTCGATGTTTAAATACCATCGATGGTATCGGTTCTATGTGCACTCAGTGACGTAATTGAACACAAGTATTTGAATGGGCCCCTGTTGCTGAAATTGGTTTTAACAAACTAAATATATAGAAATGTTCATTTCAGGGACCGAACATAACAGTTATTCATGAAAACTGTCATTGGAAAATTCATTATGAATCGATTTCTTTTTCGCCGAGAGTCAAATTTGAAAATACATTTTTTTTTTGTAATATTTGTGCGAAATAAAAAAAAAACTAACTATTATTTTTGATTTTTATTTATATGACTTATAAAACAGTTATTGAAGGCTTTTATTTATAAAAGTCATCAATGAATATCAGTCAGTGAGTTTTACTTTTAAAAGTCATCAATAAAAATCAGTCCCTGACTTTTATTTTTAAAGTCATATGTACAAAAGTCATCATCATTTTTCACAATTAATTAGGTGTTGGAGAACAAAAGTTTACTACGACCTAAACAAATGACTTTTATAAGTATGACTTAAAAAATAAAATACAGTGACTGATTTATTTTGATGTCTTTTGGAAGTAAAAGTCACTGACCGATTCTTATTGATGAATTTTATAAATAAAAGTCTTCAATAACAGTTATCTAAGACATAAAATATAAAAATGATTTTGCAAATTATTTAGATAAAAATCCTAAATTATTGTTGTTTTGGATTTATAAAATAAAAAATCGGAAATAACTGTTATTTAAAGAGTAATTAAATAAAAGTCAAAAATAATTGTTCAAGAGCGATTTTTATAACAAAAGTTATAACTGCTACGGTCCCTGCCTGATTCATTGCAATAAAAAGTTTCTGCTAAATAGTTGGAACTATTTTGTAAAAATTTTAACCATTACGTAATGTACATATAAATATATATTCTCTTCTCATTTCCATCTTTCGAATAAGAACAAGTTTTTAATACACCCGATTATGTATTATGAATCAATGAAACACCTGCTCCTCGTGTTGGTTTAAATAAGGATTTTCCGTCTCGTCCAGCCGTTAGCCGGGCTCTTGTTCCCCGATGAAATAAAGAGCTTCAGGTGTTGATAAGTTATCAGAGGAAACTCTTGAACACAAAGAGAGTATAAGAAGTGTATTCCTTTTTTCGAAAAAATCTTTCAGTTCTTTTAGAATATGCCTGCATATTCCCCTGTCTCGACAGGTAAAGCGGAGAATGTGGAAGCCACAGTTTCAAGGTGCAAAAGATTTGTTGTCAGAACAGTGGTGAGTGAAGGTGCCTTACAATATGTTATTGCATTTTTTTGCCAGCTGCAAACCACATGATCCTATTATACTCAGAAAAATTGCTGAACTTCATGTTGGAATGTGTGGATAGATGGGTCATTGCCTATTTGGCTTTAGGAAGATTAGGCGGCAGGACACTTTTTATTCTTCTGCCCTTCATTTGCAGGGCTTAGGTATGAGACTTTTAAAAGCGATGTTTTGGGACCCTCGCACGTAGCAGTACACCTTCATTTCAAACTCTTAAATGTGATTATTGTGAGCGTAAAGGCTCCGACACAGGACTCCTTAATGACTCCAAATGTTTTCTGGGTATGTTCTCACTGTGGCATGATTCAGTAATATAAAAATAAAAATTCTTTCTCGGGAAGTTTAAAATTTCATTTTAACTCTGACTTATCACCCCTTCTGCAGATATTAGTGCTCAATGAACTGTTAGAAAGCCTTAAAGTTAGGAGAACAAAGGTTTTTGCCATATGTTCTGATTTCCGACGAATTCTTGCCAACAATTAGTAAGCTGATGGAATCGGCACAGGGCAGTGTTTTTAACTGGGCACAACAAAACGGGCCCATTCATCCTGGAATTGTAGTTTTAAGATTCCTAACATTTGCCACATCGCCTGTCTGATAACTGTAGACAAGGAGGCTTGTCTCATTCGGATAGTAAGTCTCTGCCAGGGAACGTCACAAAGTTCTTTAACAGCCAGGCGCCATTGAAAACATTATGCTCCAGGGTAGTAAAATCGAAAGCAATAGGGATATGTCGTGCAACGCTGGCTTTACTGAGTCACGTCAAAACCCCTCTCTGTGCTGGGTTCCTGGAAAAAGTAATATAGAAGGGAACGAAATAGCCGATGAGATGGCTAGATAGCTCCCTTCTTATATCCATGCCCAGCTCTCCAAACAAAGCGCCTCTCTCAAGCATTTGCTTTTCAATTGCTTTGTCGAGATAGCAGAGGTGAAAATATCGAACATCCACGGCTTCATCCGGGATAGTAAATGGTTTGACAGACTATATACTGACAGCAAGGACTAACCTCGATTAGAAAGATGTGCCTCCTCCTGGCACTCACAGAGGGCATTCACAATAGGAGCTTAACTGCTGTTAAGAGCTCAGGTAAGTTCCAAGAATTTTAACATGAAAGGAAAGGCAAGGTTTATTTCTTACTTTTTGTTTTTTTTTACTTTCCTTGGATTGTACTTAATGTAAGCAATTATCTCCTTCGAGTAGTATTCTCCTTTTTTCAAAAGGCGTAAACTGCAGTTAAGGCTTGATGAAAATAAACTACAGTAAATGCATACAAACATGTAAAAATACATGTTATGTTTAGTAACGACGAATATGACCTTCATTTAATTTTTCAACTTGTCATTTTAAAAGGGATGTAAAAAATAAATCAAGTTTATTATCAAATATGTATCTACTGCAATATTAAGTATTTTTCCAATGCTTGTATGTATGTCACACTTAGTGTTTATCATAGGCCCCACACTCAACGCTTGCCTGTAGCCTTGCGGTATGACCTTGAACAGTTTCAATATTAAGTAAATAAAAACTTTAAGGTGCAGCTTTAATGTCAGTATTTAGCATTTAATTAAAAAGATGTATAAAAAACATAATACATACAAACAATAGTTTTAGGAATGCAATCTACTTTCAAAAATGCTAGTAAACTTGTTAAATTTTTTGCCTTTTCCTTGGTTACTAATTCATGTCTACATACGTACATACATACTTAGTAGGCGGACAGCTGTGGCTTAAAAATCAGCTCAGCAGGAGGTTATTAATGTGAGTAGACCGCAAGCCATGTAAATACATACATACATACATACACATGTCCTCCCCTTAGCTTTTAATATTGAATTGGGTAGATTTGCTTTGATAATCTTCGCCATTACTCCAAGAGCCGCCTCATCGAATGTTGTCATTGTCCATGCTTCGGCGCCATATACCAACGCGGGCATGATGAGTGATTATAGAGTGTGGCTTTCGTACGTCGGGAGAGGACTGTACTCCTGGATTGCTTTTGCTTCCTTATCCAACTTGGAAATGGCAGAACAGACTTCGCGGTTCTTCTTACCGATGATGACCGATGTCATCGATGTACGCCAGCAATTGTACGGTCTTGGAAAAAATTGTTCCTGAGCGGTTCAGTTCTGCGGCTCTTATTATCTTCTTCAACATTAGATCAAAGAAATCACATTAAAGGGAGTCACTCCGTCTTAAATCCCGTTTAGTAGCAAACAGCTCGGTGAAGTCTTTCCGAATTCTGACGGAGCTGGTCATTTTACATAGCCATATCGGTTTTGCGGGGCTGCCAAATTCAGACATCGCGGCATATGGGCAACTCCTTTTATTGTTATTGAAAGCGGCAGACCACAGAGCACACTTAAGTTCCAGTCGTCAGGCATGCGCTCATCTGACCATATTCTGCATAACAGCTTTGTTGTTTTTCAAGCGCGCTTTTCCTATTCTTACCTCGTCATATTAAGGTGGTGCAATATCGACTCCGTTATCATCGACGGGCGGCTCGGGTTCGCTTCTTCCTCACAGCTTTTAGTGCTGCTCCGATTTAGTACGGTGGAAACTATTCCGTCCATAATTTAAGTACGTTCTGAACATCAGTCACTAGGTCGCCATTGTTGCTCTTATAAGAGTTCGCTTGGTCTTACTATCTTCCGTAAGTCACCACCTAACTCTCTAGTAAAATTGGGGGTTGGGGGGTAAGGCAAAAAAATTTTTTAGTTTCACTTTTATTTCAACATATTTTGATTAAAGGAACAAAAGTGATTAAAATAAAATTTTTCATAAAAACAGGGTTGAAATCTTGAAATTCCTGTCCGTATTTTGTTTGTAAATCAAATATGAGTGGCATTGTGCTACTATGATAGCACGGCCGAGTAGTCATAGCCAACTTCTGTACAGTAGTCGAAAAAATTATAGCCGCACCAAATTTTGACAAGTTTTAAAATATTATTTTTGTTGTTATTTAATTTCGGTGCTTTTTTTTGCTCCAGTACCTTTTGGTTGTTACTCACTTTTTACTCTTACTTCCGAGAGTAATTTTGCTGTTTGACATTTTTACAGATTATACACGAAAAGTATGGGATCAGAGCTATATCTTTGGCTGCCGCCAAACATTTGGCGCCAAATAATATGTCACTAAAGCACCGAGCATGCGCGTTACTCGAGCGCGAGTGTGTTTTTTTTTCACCGTTTTGCCTAAACATTCGCTGGCGCTTTTCTCTCTTTGAAAAATAATGACGAGTGTGGCATTTGAAAGTTTGTAAATATTTAGTTCATTTGCTAACCTCTTGCTTGGCATATTGCTTTTTCTATTTATGTATATGTGAATGTTCATATATGCATATGTATGCATAGATGTTAATAGCTTTTCAATAGCTACACATACTTATTCGTAATTTCCTCTAATTTGTTTTGTTCGCCTTTCTATTGACCGATGATGCATCAATATAATCAGTACTGTCAGAATAATGCGAAAATAAGAAAACTTATAAAAAAACACAAAACCCTGTAAACAAATGCAGTAGTTTATGTTGATAAAATACTGTATAGATAGAAGATGGCAGTGCAATAAGAGGTACATATGTACATTGCTTTTTTTTTGTTTGTCACAGTTGGCTTCGCCTCAGTGCCACACAGCCGGCGAATCAGTCAGTCACGGCAATAATTTCAAACGAGAAGGTGAACTGGCAATCGCTTTGACCAATATTGCAAATACATATATAATTTTAAAAATATAAATAAAGCATTAATCCAGTTAGTGAAAAGTTCACACATCATATTTACCTATATTTAATTAAGTACTTTGTGTGGAGAATAAAATATCTCGAAAATGCAATTGAAGGCTATTAGTCCGATTCTATTAAATGCGCGCTTGTTCAGTGTTGGTATGCGCTATAAAGGGCGGTAAGTTGTCTAGTTACATACATATGTACCTATAGTGTATGTAGTATATGTACTCGTGTATATAAATAGAAACTTTCGCTTAATTGCGAGTAAAAAGTGATAAATAATATGTAATAAAATATCGAAATTATTAGCGGACATTAAGAGGGCGTTTATGACGAGGAAAGTTGATTATAATCGCCTCAGCGGCTTTTGAGTAATTAAATTGCAAAACTTAATGACTATGAGCGCATTTCATATTAATTTATAATTTTATTTGCATCCAACTAATGAATTATTTTTACTCTCAGAAACCACTGATTAGTTTCTTATCACTTCGGTTGGCTGTATATGTACATATGTAAACACATACATACGCATAGGTTGTTTGTCACGCCAGAAGAAAGTGTACATTGCACAGTCAGGAGTTAATTAATTTTTAATGAAGCGCTATATTTTTTTTATTTAATTATAATCACCTAAATACTACGTGAAGCTTTGAATGATAATTAAATTTGTAGCTTTAGCAATTATGTATATAATATTTAAAAGCAAATTTTTTTGTTCTCAAAACTAAAGAATAGTTAAGAATTAACACGGAAACTTTAAATTATATTCCTAAGAATAATTTTATGTAGTTTCAAATGTCACTCATTTGCTGGGAGAACAATATAACTCAAATAGTCGGACATTCGAAAAAAGGGCTTTACAAATTTTAAGCAAATTTTTCTCTTTCAGCAAGATTAAACAAAATGTGGTTTCACTTTTTCGAAAAGAGTTGCCACCTAATAAGAAATTAAGTTGAAATTATTTAGAAAGTTAAACCAATTATTACAAAATGGGTTCCGATCGAACTGGGTTTAAAAGCTTTGTCTCTTAACTTCACTGCAGGGGTGCCACCTGTTTAAAAAATTAAATAAAATTTAAATTAAGGTAATTAGGTAACAGACATACATATTTATCACCATTTGAGTGCTAGGCGAAAAGATTTTAAGATAATAGTTTGTAAATGTTTTGAAAAGGGTTACCACCTGTTTCAAAAGTCGATTTCAATTAACATATGCACAACAAAATATTAAAACATGTCAAACAAAAGAGTGTTAAGAAATCTTTAGTTTCAACACTAACTATATTTTTGAGATGTTTAAAGAGGGATGCCAACTGTTCAAAAAGTTTAATTAAAATTATTTAATAAGCTAAATAAATTGCATATTAAAATATTGGTATCAATCGAAATGAGTTTGACAAGGCTTTATTTCTGAACTATATTTAGAGGGTTGCCACATGTTTAAAAAATCAAATTCAACTTAATTCATCAGTTAATTAAAATATGTACCACAATGTCAGAGGGTAATTTAAGAAGGTTATATAGGTTGAAGAGGGCTGCCACGTGTTTAAAAGGTCGAATTTAATTAACTTATACGAAATTTATTTGAAATACGGGTGCCAAGCGAAAAATTGTTATGAGCTCTTTAGTTTGAACACTGAAATTATTTTTGAGGTGTTTTATGAGGGTTGGCGTCCGTTTAAAAAGTTATATTTAAAGCCAAATGAATAATTCAAATATGGATATCAGTCGAAATGGGCTTGAAAAGGCTTTAATTCTAAAAAGATTAATTATCAAAAGATATATATCAATCGAAATGTGTTTGAAAATGCTTAATATCTGACCACCGTTTGAAAAATCAAATTCAAATTAATTCATCAGTTAATTGTAATTTGTGTCACAAGAGAAAGAAATTGAAAAATACTTTAGCTTGAAAATACGTTTGAAAAGGATTTCCACCTGTTTCAATAGTCAAATTTAGTCAACTTATACACAAGTTTCATGAAAAATTTAAAAAAAAACTCGAGTAAATAAATAAATATATTTTATTAGGTTTGCCACCTTTTCGAAAAGTCGTACTTATCTAACTAAGTATATAAATATATTATATGAAAAGAAATTTTTTGTGAAGGTCATTTGATTTGCACCGTTCTTTCCAATTCCAAGTAGTGGCTGTATATATGGGTTAAGATTTTATTTTTTGAAGTTGGAACATTTAGATGAAATATGGCAATCTAATCGGTTATAACTCCGATTAACATTTAGAATATTTTTTATAATTTTTAAATTCAATTTTGGGCGTTTTAACGCCATGCGGGTTCACTAGTTTCCATTTATTCTTTCATTTGATCGCTTTACCTTCGTCCGCTGTTATTCTGGGTAGAGCTTGATGCTTCAATCCCCATTTTTTCCCTATCGCTGATTTACAGGCATACATACATGGCAGTTATAGCTTTCTTGCAACGCTCTTCTAAATCTTTATCTTCATCTTTTATTTTGACCTTCATCTTCACTTTCATCTCTTCCTTAATCTCAATCTTGACCTTGTCCATTGACTGCCTTTGCCTTTGTCTTTATCTCTGTCGTCAAAATTGATACGCGATCCTTCATCTCAGCTGTCCAATCCAAATGAACATCTATTACTTCAACCGGGACCTAATTTTGATAGCAGAGATCTAAACTTTAGTCCATAAATATCCCATCAAATTCTTATTATAATCAGTGTTGCCATTTTAGTTTTTCGGATAGATTTAGCATTCTATATTCGGGTTTAACCAGAACAATTTTGTTTAGCTTCTAGCTTTTTTTTAATGAATAAGCTTTTTTAGCTTTTTACTTTTGATAAAAATATTAGCTACAAATGTAAATGGTGTTAAGATGTTTAATGCGTGGTTTAGTGTTAGGTATGTAATAAAAAATAAAGACAAATGCTGCATGATATTTTACTTCGGCGAGTTCTCATTTAAAAAATACACACTCCTAATATGTATACAAATATTGAATACCTTTTCAAAAGATGCTCAAGGCCGCGAAAAATTATACTTTGCGACGATGGAGTACAAAGACATCGCACATCGCATCGTTTGTATTTTCCATCGTCAGAAGATACAAAGAAAGGTTTTTGAAGCCTCGACTTTATCCGTTTTCTGCGTGGGTAGACTCGTTTTTCAACTCTTTCGCCACTCAGATCGCCTTTCGGAAAACGCGAACGGGAATCAGTAGTTGCAAGACAACACCGGTGAATTTCTACACGGATGGTGGTTCTTTTATTCAGGGCTCTGTTCAACAACTTTTGATTTAGGCTTTAGGTTTTCACGCGACGGGGCTAAACGTCACACCGATTCGTTGTTTACTTACGTACAAAATAAGTTGTTCCTCACAAAATTTTAACATTCTATCTTTTGACACTATGATCAGGTTTAATAACAACAAAAACTTTCGATTTGTTAATTTGGCTCTTTCAGGCATATCTCAAATTGTGATTTAGCTTTTTTACCTTTATTTTTTTACCAATATAAAAAGTTCTGGCAACACTGATTATAATACCATGGTGTGTTTTGTTTTACAAAAATTGACCTTTGAGCGTATGAGGCGCCCGCTACGTGCGGCGTCCGTTGCGTCTATTAATATTCACTTTGCTAAAACATACGACTAACTATAAAAAATAATCTTATCAAATATTTTTGGCGGCACAACTAACAAAATGTGTGCCGAATATTAATGCTGCCAAATATTTTTGTATGAAAATGAAACGATTCAAATTTAGCGGCGATTTTATAGTTGCTAAAAATATGTGAATTTAAGTGTGAATTACACAATGCATGACGAGAATTTCTCACAAACTATTTATTAATTTAATATAATAGCCAGTCACACACACACACTTGCATTCAAATTGACATTAAACAATTAAGCGAGTTGCTCTCTTCACTCTCTCGTACGTTTGTTTCGTTCACAGTTCGCCGCTATACCCAACTGCCAACAATTCATATAACCCTTCCAATGGCCAGGTAACACCGTACGACCACTGCAACCAGCAGCGACAACAACTACCGCAATATTACAAAACCACGATTCCAGTGAATGAACATTGCCAACACCAACAACTGCAACAGCAGCAAATCGCCGCCGCCACGGCCAACAGCTGTCACTTTGATGGAGGTAATGATGGTAGTGGCGCTGGTGCTGGTGCTTGTGCTGGTGCCGGCGGCGGTGGAGCTTTCGCGCAATCAGCTGTTGGTGGCGCTCAGCTGACTACTACTACTACCAGCAACAACATCCATGCCTCCATTGGTGACGCAATGAATGTCAAGCACTGTGCAATCGGAATCCCCATGTCAGCTCAGTATTGTTGCCACGCCACCGACAATCCAAACACTCACAGCTCCACGCGAGCACGGCATGCTCACGAAAATATGAGTAGTAGTCAAGTGAGCAATAATCATACGACTACACTAACAACAACGACAACAACTGTCGAATACGAGTTGTCAAATGGCATAGCAAAATTGAGTAAAATCAGTACGAGTCGAGTCGCCGCCGAACAGTCATCGTTGTCGTCTCAATTGTCACAGAGTCAGCTAAAATTTGCAGTTGAAAAGGAAAAAGAAGTCAATAATTTGACGGTAAATACCAGCGAACAGGATCAATATCTATTGCCACCACTATTATCCACTAAGGCGTTAAAGGAATTAAGTTCCAACATAGACGTTTTGAATAGCTACAATCAAAGCAATAAGCATTTATTAACCAGTTTACAAAAGCAACAGCTAAGAAATTACAGCAAAATGAGTGATATTTCGGAAAGAACACCAAATGTGGTATTAGCCGACGATGCGGAAGTGCCCGGAGAAGTGAGTGGACTGGAACGCCTGCGTAACAAAAAATACAGCAAGGTAAGTCATTTAGTGAAAAAAAAACTAATACAAAATGACTTCAAAGGATTCAAAATAAAATTTTAGCGATTAAAGGACAAATCACTAATACGAAAAATTCAGCTAATTTATTTTAACTCCTACTTATACATATATATACTAAAAAAGGTACGCCTTGTGAAGTGATATTCGCAATCCACAAATGGAAAATTACCAAATGACTAATTAAATGAAAGTGGTTGGTGTTGTAGTGGCGATGTTAAAAATGAGGCAGCTACGTTAAAACTGCATGAAAAAATTACCGTAGTGAATGAATACCGGTTGTTAAAATAAAACTTGAAATTAAATTTAGTTTAACTTGAAGAAATTTGTTCACTTTTCTTCCATAATTTATTAGCAACCTACAGCGCTTACAACAACGTTCAATATATTGTCGTGGCTCATAGGCTAGACACCGGTTTTGGTTGTGTTTGACCGGAATATACGACGAAAAATCGATATGAGTCCAATGGCAGCCTCAAAAATGCCATTCAAAGGACCTTTTCCATAGAAAATTAGATATATATATGCTTATATAGGAAACGCACCCTTATTTATCGCATACCTGTATATATACATATATATGTATCTGTGGATAAGCAAAGCCCGTACAAAGCGAACAGCTGTAATTACTCACTCAGTGAAGAAATCACACCACTTTTTTGCTCCACACCACTTTTCGCTCAGAGAACTCATTTAATTTCTATTTAATATATAGAGACTGACGTATACATTTGTATCTATACAGGGTGATAAGTTGAAATCTCTTTGCGGCAAGAAAGCGCCGGTTTAAATAGAGGACGGCCAACTTGAGAGTCTGTGCATATTCATAGTCGAAGTGAAATCGCCTCTAAAGTTGCTTTGTTATCAATCTAATGTCACTGTGGATGTAAGGTTAAGACACAATGTCGAAGATATTGGAGATTTCGTTGACATTGATTGATTCTTCCGTCAAACTGGTTTCGGTCATTAAGGGTATTCATCTAACGCCACAACTGCCGATAAACGTGATAAAATTATCATTACCTTAATACACAAACGAACCAACATTTTTTTCGAAACTGCGTTTTTAACAAATTTTTCTAGAATGTATTAAAATACACCTACAATCAAAATTGTTAAGTGTTAGTACCAAAAACAATGCAGTTGCATGCCACTCTTTAAAAAGCTCTACCAGTTTTTGATACTCTTTTTATAAAGTTTTTTGCTTCTCCAGTTAGGGCATTTGCGAATTAAGGTAACGTTATAAATTTGTATGAAATTTATAACTTTTTCACGTTTATCAGCAGTTATATGATTACCTCTATTGTGTATTTCCACATCTCACGTTTCTAAAGTTGGTCTAAAGAAGCTTAAATGTGCGAATTTTTTATTGTCTATTCCTTAAAAATTCGTTAAGAAAACAAAGCTGCTCAACCTCTCCCTAATCCGGCTTGAAGTTCTCAATACGTGAATGGACTTTATCTAACATGCATCGTTGTCGACAAGTCGAAGAGCTGGTCGAGTCATTCACGAAACTGTTTTCTAAATTTTTCCAACTCCCTGAAATCTTCAACTTATTCTTAAAACACCATTTTCTATTACTTTTTAACCAATTTTAAGTTTATATATGACTTTCGAAAGAAGAATATTTGTACTATTTAAAAATAATAAGTTTTGTGAGCACATTGTAAATATGTCGGCAATTTTTGGAATAAATCTGAAATTTACATCAATTTTTATTATTTTTCCATTTCACAATATTTTTTGCCAAATTTCAAAAGAAATAGTCCCTTTTAGTCATTACAACGAAAATGGTGTTAAATTCCGAGGAAAACTGGGTGCCATTTATTAAAATCAATATAAAAATAATGAAGTTATGACATTTTTAATGAAGAGACAAATTCAAATCTTTTACATGAACTATTGAAACCTCATAGTGAATCTAATCTAACTTCCAAAATTGCATTTTAATTTTCATAAATAGTACCTAGTTTTTTTCAGAATGAAACATTCTTTTCGAAGTAAGAACTAAAGCAGACTTTTTTTTTTTTTAATTTCAAAAAATTTTGTAGAACTAGATAAAACAAAAACCTTGGTATAAATTTCAGATTTGCTCTACATACTATTTACACTGTGCAGTTTCGTGAACTACTCGACAAGCACTTAAAAATTTCTTGATCAGTGTAACACCGTGTTATCTAGGAGATATTAAGATAGCATTCCTTGAAAATGTTCATCACGAACTGATTTAAATATGTCTTTAATCAAAATAAACTTGAATTTAACGTTCAGAACTAGGAGGAAATTCAGGTATGTATACTGGAGAAGAGCTACCTCGAATGGCGGTCAAGTGACTGATTAGAGAAAACCGTTTGTGCCTCGCTAGGCTAATAGGAAAACTGAACACTATATCTTTGAAATCCGATTTTATATCTGGCTGGGTAGATCTATAACGGTTTTTACGTTTTCTACACATCTTATATGGACGGATACGGAGCAAAAGCTATCTCACTGGTCAAAACTAGTTTGAACCAAGGCAATTTTTAAGAAGCTGAGGATTGCTCTTTTTAAGCACCTTTTATTCAACAGCTGTTCACCTTTTGCACTCAAGACCTTTATATAGACACACACACCCACATTGGATGCCATATAAAAATGTTTCTCTGTTTTGAAATATTTTACTCTCCGACTTAAGAAAAAATAGCGAATTTCAGCCTTTGCCTGAAGAGCAAAACAAAAATTAAAGATGAGAGATGAGAGATTTCGATGAGCAAATAAGCATTTCCGCTAGTTGAGTTTATGAAATCATGAGAAAGTTACAACCAAGTATGTACATATATAGATTTTAAGCAAAATAAAAAGCATTTGAGTATGCGAAATATACAAATAAATTTATACACAAATATATCTACATACATACATATGTATATATATATATATTTACAAAACAATTTGCTTATGCGGCAAACCAGAGACTCATACTATCACTGCGTGACTAAGCGCAAAATGCAAAAATAGAAAAAAATCCATAAGTAAATATGTAAAAGATATGTATTTAGATTACTAATAACAAAACAGTAAATATGCTCTCGATTCCAAAAAAGAGATTGTACACCAAACAATTTGCAATAGCTTGGCTCTATTTGGTTGGTCCGTGATTAATATGTATGCGTACGTATGTATGTATGTACGTAAATTCTCTGAAAACCCCAGACAGTCGCTTTGCATTTTTCAAACAAAGAATTAAATATGGTTTCACTTTTATACTACTTAGTTGAATACCGAAATCTTTTGGTTTGTTTAATGTAGAATTTAGGGAATCCAAGCCCGCAAATTGGGGATCCGACGGATTTGCGGGACGGCAGAAGAAAATTTAATAAGTAATTTTTAGCAAAAAAAAAAACCGACTTCAACTCTCATATAAAAAAAAATATATATATCGGATCTTAACCAGATTAGTATGGGACCACCTCTGAGACACTACCTTTCCGAATTATCGAAATCGGTTGACGTGGTCCAAAGTTATGCGGTAACATACATAAAAAAAAAAAAAAAAAAAGATTCCGACGAACTGATAACCTCCTCCTTTTTTGGAAGTCGGTTAAAAAGACGAATGCAAGTTGTGTACGTGCTCGCCAAAATGTTCGTCGTGCATGGCTGTATTAAATAAACATCATTTTATAACCCAGTGGATAATTTCAGGAGTTAAAATCCCTTCCGAAAGGCCTTGCTGAGAGACAAGAGGCCTTCCAATCTATATTCCTTTCCCGTTTTTTTGTATGGATTTTCATCAATTGAAGGAATTCTTCTTTCGTTACACATAGAAGCCCTTCCAGAAGGTATTTTATATGACGTACTTCAGAAGTCCTTTTGGAGGGGGTTCATTGAGTTTGGCAATGAGTTTTGAGGTAAGAAGCAAATCCTGGCGTGATGGAGCAAAACGGACTTCAGGTTTGTGTTCAGCGACGCCAAACACATATAAAACACCTGGTCTGCTTTTATTAACCCTTCAACGATTTTTTTTTTTTGTGGTTCTGCGTAATCGATTAAAACTTGAAAATGTTCGCCTTGATAACTAGCTCAAACTTTGTACACTTACCGATTTATGAACACATTATACAAGTGTAGAACAGTCCGTTTCTATCGAAAAATAAGTGTGCCAGCGAAAAAATTTATTTTTTTTTTTCTTGAGCTTCCTTTCAGATGCTGACTTTCGAATACTTATAACTTTGGTTCTCTTATTAGAGGCACAAATTCTGCTCTGGTGTAAATTTCAAGAGTATGCTCTATGGAATAAATTACTTTAACGCCATCTACAAATTTCAAACGGTAAAAAGGTTACGCGGAAAAACAGGAATCAGAATCACTGATGTTTTACCTAGTTTTAGAATTACAGCGAGCGGGTATTGTTTCAGATCGGATAAAACACTACAGTGACTGTTGTTATGATATATTATTTTTTTATACCTAACAGATATAGCAATTTTGACCATATACCTACGAAACTATGCATGATCACCAAAATCAAAAAGTGGAATTTAAAAGATAAAAAGACTTTATCATTCCATTATCAAAAAACTCAACCCAATTAAAAGTAAATACGTAGACTTTTATAAATCCAATCGTCTTTTTTAACATATCAATTTTAAATATAACTGTTTAGAAGAAATAATATGATTTTTTTTTTGTCTCGCAAATCCGCGGATCCGCGGGATTAATGACCTCGAACCCCAAACTTGCGGGATTGCGATTTTTATGCGGGATTGGATTCCCTAGTAGAATTTTATTGGTTTCTCTGTCTGGGATTTGTAGAAGCTGATGAAAAATAGAAAGAATAGAAAACATAACATTCACAAATATTTATAGCTTTTTCCATCATATGTGCATACAGTCATGTGAAAAATAAAAGGGACACGAATAAAACTTCGGCAAAAACATGATCAAAAAACAGCGCGAATTCTTAGCCAATTAAAACTTGTATTTTACTAAGCCAGAATGAA